AGGTGAAATGATCAACAAAGTGATAGTTCAGCACTGAGTAAATTGAGAAAGGGACTATTTTAGATTACAGTGAGGATATGCCCTTAGTTAGAAATAGGAGCACAATGTAAAATGTGAATTCTCTGTGTTAGTTTGGGAACTGAGAAGAATTTCTGAAAGTTTCAGCAGAGATAAGGCTCAATGCATACACTGTGTGTGGGTGTATTTGTGTGTGTGTGTGTGTGTGTGAAAGAGAGAGAGATCGCAAGAGAGGAGGGAGGGAGAGAGAGAGACTCTGAAACACTGTTGCACAGATTGTCTCTATAACCTTGCTGAAGCACTGGTTAGCCTGCTGTTCAAGATCACTTATTCTTCACTTTCTTTTCCTCAGAGAGTCTTAAGCAACCTGTGTTTTTACAACAGAGTTGCTTTTACCACTGCATAATTTCTGGACCTGACTTTAGAATAGATAGTAGTAGGTACTCTACTCATTTTCACTTCAAGTTTAACTTGCTTAGGTCTGTGTGAAGATCTTAGTAAACAGAGTAACTGATCCCACAGCAGTTTCAGAAGGGAAACCACTTTTATTCCTCGGTATAAGAATTATTAATGTCATTTTACTCTTGATTCAGTCTCATCCTTAAACTTTAATATTCACTAGGCTCTTTTAGTCAAATTACTCGTCTCCTGAATTTGACATTTCCTTTTTTCTTCTTCCTTAGGATCCATTTCTGGGAAACTGTTGTGAACAGGGCTCCTCACAGTTTTCATGTTTGAATTCAATACCACGACATTTCAGCCTTCTTTTTTTATTCTCACTGGCCTCCGAGGGCTGGTGGGTGCCCGCCTATGGCTGGGACCACTCTTGAGCCTGATGTACATTACTACAATGGTAGGAAACTGCACAGTAATATACTTGGTGAGGACTGAGAGGAGTCTACAGGAGCCTCAGTACCATTTCTTGTCCATGCTGGCTGGGGCTGATATTGTCCTCTCTGTCTCCACCCTTTTGTCTGTGCTCAAGGTCTTTATTTTTGGCCTCTATGAAATTGCATTTGATAGTTGCCTCACTCAACTCTTCTTTATTCATACATCCTCTTCCATGGGCTCAGGTATCCTGTTGGCCATGGCTTTTGACCGCTTTGTGGCCATCAGTCACCCCCTGCAATATACCACCATACTCACCAACTCACGAGTCACCAAAATGGGACTGGCAGCCTTGCTGAGGGGTGTAGCACTCATGACTCCATTGCCCATCCTGCTAAAGAGGCTGCCTTTCTGCAAGGGCCAGATGCTCTCCTATTCCTACTGTCTCCATCCAAATGTCATGAAGCTAGCTTGTGGTCAAGTCAAAATCAATATTTTCTATGGTCTGGTTTTGGTCATCTTTTCTTTTGGGATTGATTTTCTCCTGATAGCCCTTTCTTATGTTCTGATATTCCAAGCAGTGCTGGGTATTGCTTCCAGAGAAGGACAGATGAAGGCACTCAATACCTGCTTGTCTCATATCTTTATTGTGTTTATTTATTATGGACCTCTCCTGGCAATAACTGTAATGCATCGAATCCGCCACAAAAGTTCTCCATTGGCACATGCAGTCCTGGGAAATATTTACCTCTTTATGCCTCCAATGCTCAACCCAATTGTGTATAGTCTGAAGACCAAACAGATCCGTGCTGCTCTGAGAAAATCTTTCAAGGTCCAGCAAGCATGAAGAATTAGAAAAGTTAAAGATGATTTAAATGAGGGAAAATAGAACTTTCAGTTTTATAATTATTTAAAAATTGAATATCATTGCTATAATTTTAGATATAGGATGTGGATATAAATATGAATATGATGATAAAATCTTCTAAATTACAGTTTATGAATAAAGATTATACTTTTATGGATTCATAATATTGTCTTTGTCCCACATTACTTACCATGTGTTTTGAGATATTTTGTGAACAAAGTTGAAACAAATGAGAAATAGTTGGCTAGAGTATTCATGTCAGCTCCTTGTCATAGATAGTTCTAATGTTTTTCCATATTTTCTAATAAAGTTTATAATTCAACAATTTTTCAAGAAGACCAGAGAGTTTAGCAAATCTCCAACCATATATTCTAACTTTCCATTTTATTTTCTTTCCATATGTTTTATTATATTTTTAAATTCTTCCATATTATTTTGACTATATCAAATTATAAGTACCTGGGTCATAGTAGAAAATGTATAAATAATTTTGTATATTACTCTGTTTATCCAAGATTTGAGTCAAATACAATAAAATTCTTTCCAACTCCTCCACCAAGATTTGAAAATCCATATTTTTTAAAATTGTTGTTTATCCAGGTTTCCTACAGATTGTACCATTTTTACTATGTTTACTGCTTTTTATTTTCTCCACAGACATGGAACATATTCTATATTATCATTGAGGAAATTTTTACTCATTTATGATCTTCACATAGGTGTGAGCACTCAGTCAAAATTAAATTATTGAAATTCTGTTCCAAATTCTTCCTTTTATTAAATTCCTATTGTATGTAAATTATGATTAGAATGTCTATGTTGCTATAGTGAAAAGAATCTTATTATCTCTATGTACCTCCTACATTTCTTTACGTTTCACTCACTATGTCTCCTAAATATATCTTAAATGTGTCCACTCATTTACATTTCTATATTTTCTTCACTAGTTCAATGTTTCACTTTACTAGTTTAATGTTTCCTTCTTCATCTATTTTAATTTCTTAATTTTCCCACTTAACATTAACTCATTCTCAAACAATTGCTTACTTTGCTCCATAAACTGCAAAACAAATATGATCATGTTGAATCTGAGTTTTTGCAATTGAATCTTTTTTGTCTGTTATGACAAATTTAACTTAATGTTTATGATATGGGAGGCTGTCCATGATCTGACCTTTTCCCATTTTCTTTCACACCCCATTCTTACTAAAAAATCTTTAGTTCTCTGAACAATGCATGCTGGTTCAAATTCTTTTTATATTTTTGTATTGTTTATACTTATATACACTTCTCATTCTTTATCAAGGAAAAAAGTGTTCATCATTGGAGATCCTCTTGTAAGTTCTAA